AATGTTGTGAAGCTGTTCTCTACTCCCTCCTCACACCGCGCCTAGCCGGCCTCGGCTCCTCCTCCTCGTGCGGCGGCGCCGCCTCGCCCGCCGCCTCGTCGCGCTCCTTCGCGTCCGGGCTCGGCGGGCCGCCTCCGACGCGCACCTCCTCCCTCGGCTCGCTCTCGCGCCTCTCCGCCGCTTCGGGCCTCCTCTCCCGCCTCGCGCGCCTCACACCCCATTGCCCACTGAGCCGCACCGTGATGCCACAGCGTTGTGTTGTATAGGCCGCCTCTCCGGCCTCGCGCCCGGCGGCGGCAACACCGCGGTCCAGACGCCGCCCTCCGCGGCAGGCGCCTTCGAGGCGCTCTCGAAGCTCGTCAAGTGCCCCGCGCCGCGCCGCGCGCCAAACGTGGTGTTGCGCCGCCCCTCGCGCCTTTCGCGAGGGGGAGGCGCCGCCGCCGCCGCCGACGCCGCCGCCGACGGCGCCGCCACCGCCGCCGCGAGCGGCAGCCACCGGGCCGCCACAACGGCGAGGCTCGGAGTTGCAGGAGGCCGAGGCGTGAACGGCGTCTCTTCACACGTGCCCACCGGTGCCGACAGGCGAGGCTCGAGGGGAGGCTGGCCGCTGAGGCCGCCGCCGCCGCCGCCGAGGCGCACCGGTTCGTGACGGTCAACTCGTCCGACGGCTCGAGTCAGTCCGTCGGGGACTCGCGATCGAGCCACTCGAGCCAGGGCGACGAGGCCTAGGCGGGAGAACGGCCCCCGGGTAGGTGGCTGCATCCCGGTGCCCGCGCCCCGGCCGACAGGGCTCATCGCTCAGGCGGCGCGCTTCGCGAGACCGTCTGTGCGGGGCGGCGGCACGTGTCACTATTGGGCATTGTTCGCGCCAGTTCCACAATCCGATCGCGCGGATTCTCACGAGGATTCTCATTCCGTATTTCGAAAACAAAAATTCGTTTTCACAATTCAGATTTCACCTATCAGTATCACCACGCACGGTAAAACGGTATGTCTATGTGCCGCACACGTTTTCAGAGGCTTCCACACCGCGCCGGGGCGTACAGCCGGCGTACGATTCCGTACAATTATCAATTTGTGGCGCGCATAGCACGAGTCACGAGACCCCCTCGCCCTCCCCTCCCACACTCCCCAGCTTCAAATGCTGACCACGTAAGTACAACTAACTATATGCTGACGACGTTGGGAGCCGCTTTTTCCGGGACCGCGTCGAACGACGCCCAGGACCCCGACGACCTCCAGGACACGTCCCCTACGGTCTCGGTGGTGGGGGAGGGCGCGGAATCCGGCGCGCACTCCGGATCCGGCAGCGAGGACCGTCGAGAGCGAGGCAGCGAGTTTGCGCGCATCACCCCACGCTCCGCCGCATCGCCGCAGTACCGCTCCGCCTCGCTGTGGCCTTTGCTGGGGTTCATCGGGAGCGTCTTTTGCCTCTGCACGAGGAGCGGGCCGAGCGAGTGGCTCCCCTTGCCGACGAGCAGCGGCGCGTCGGTGGTCCTCGGGCGGTTGGACCACCTGCGGCGTGGCATGGGCGGTGCCCCGGGAGGTGAGCGGTTTTTGCGCGCCGGTTCATGGCGAGTGTGTGGTCCCGGCGCGCACCCTAACGCGCTGACGAGGGAGCCCCGCCCCGTGGGCGAGTTCTGGCCGGAAACAGAGCCAAGTTCCGAGAGGTTGAAGGATGCCGGCGAGTCGGGGATCGAGCTGATGAGACGGACCACGTCGTAAAAGCTGGGTTTGCGCTGCGGAGCCGGAGGCAGCAGCGCCAACCTCCGGGGAGAATGTGAGCGCGAGCCGGCATCGCTGGGTGTGTCCAAGTCGATCTCGAGAGGCAGGTGACCGTTTAAGATCGAGTCTCGCACACTGCTCCATCGCCTCCGCGCAGAGGCGCGTTGTGCGTAGTGTACTTTTTCGCACTCGTCCTCCGGCAAGCACGTGCTGCACGTGGAGCCCATGCCGCTCTCTGCTGGGTGCTGCTCTCTGCTCTGGAGCACGCGCGCGCTCGCGAAGGATAGAGAGATAAAGTCCTGGCGACAAGTGTGGGGATACACAGGACTGTCCGAGGCGCCGCCGTTCCCACTAGCACACCCTCAAGAAGAATTTCCGGCGGCTTCTTAAGACAGCGCACTGGCACAACAGGGGGGCGTGGACTGGCGCACACTGCAAGAAAGATTGAATTTTACGCGAACTCCTCTCACGTCACAACACCAACCAACTACTCGAGTAGGCGCGGTGACGGGACTGTGGCGCGCACTGGCACTAACGACGTTTCCCGATATCTAGATACATGTTTGCGCCCGCCGTTTGAAGGGTCGGTGCCTGTAACAGCTGTGCCTGGTGTGTGCAACCCAACCCACTCTGGCCCTCCGCGGCCTCCTCGCACCGACTGCCCCCCCCAATATCGCAGGTCAATAAAAAGATGACGCAGTTCTGTGGCCTCCTGCTCGCCCTCGCCTTGGGCAGCGCCGATAGCCAAGGGCTCCAAGAGGCTCGTCCTGGCCGCAGCAACTTGTTCGCTGCGACGCCAGACGGCCCGGAAGTCACTGAGGTCCTCGGCATGCTTCAGCGCCGCCTTCAGGCAGGGGCCAAAAGCATGGGGGCCTTAGCCTTCGGGGAGGCGTCCACCGTGTCGGGCGACTACTCCGTCACGCTCGGGTACGGCTGCACCGCCGGGCCGGTGCACAACAACACTGATGGGCGCCGCCGGCTGCAGACCACCAGCTACAACACGGCGGCCTCGGGTTCCTACAGCTCCGCCATGGGCTACAGGACGACGGCCTCGGGGTCCAGCAGCACCGCCATGGGCTACGGCACGACGGCCTCGGGGTCCAGCAGCATCGCCATGTGCGCCTCCACGACGGCCTCGGGGTCCAGCAGGCTACAAGACGACGGCCTCGGGGTCCGACAGCACCGCCATGGGCTCCATGACGACGGCTTCGGGGGGCAAAAGCACCGCCATGGGCTACAAGACGAAGGCAGAAAGCATGGCGGAGACAGTCGTGGGCCAGTACAACGCTCTCGGCACCTCCGCTGATACCTGGTGGGCTACCACCGACGCCGCATTCCGCGTGGGCATTGGCACTTCCGAGAACGACCGCGAGGATGCGCTCACGTGTACAAGGATGGCAGAGTCGCCATGGGCCACACCACGGTGTACAAGGACGGCAGAGTCGCCATGGGCTACAAGACGACGGCCTCGGGGTCGGACAGCACCGCCACGGGCTACAAGACGACGGCCTCGGGGTCCAGCAGCATCGCCATGTGCGCCTCCACGACGGCCTCGGGGTCCAGCAGCACCGCTATGGGCTACAAGACGACGGCCTCGGGGTCCGACAGCACCGCCATGGGCTCCATGACGAAGGCAGAAAGCATGGCGGAGACAGTCGTGGGCCAGTACAACGCTCTCGGCACCTCCGCTGATACCTGGTGGGCTACCACCGACGCCGCATTCCGCGTGGGCATTGGCACTTCCGAGAACGACCGCAAGGATGCGCTCACGTGTACAAGGACGGCACAGTCGCCATCAGCGGAGACCTCTGCGTGTCTCTGGCTCCATTTCATCAAACCAAGGTCGCCGCCTCGCTGCCCTCGAGGCTATAGCGCTGCCAAGCAGCAGCAGGCCATGGAGCAGAAGGTTGCCGCGCTCGAGGCGGCGGTGGCGGCCCTCACACTCCGACTCGGCGGCGAATGAGAGTGAACAGGCGGAGCCGGCCAGGGCGAGCGGCGCATGTGCAGACAGCCACGCGCGGCGGCCGTCGTTGAGGGACTCTGAACCACACACACAGTGTGTCACACACTCACACACACGAACATGCTCTGGGTCCCTAGACATATGCAGATATGGTGATTGTGGGGTCGCCTTCACGCCTGAGGCCTATGGTCCCCGAGGGCGAGGCGCTTGGTCCTGGACTCTAGCACCGATTGATGCATTCGTTTTGCCGATTGTCAGGCCTGCTTTCTCTCATGCACACACAAGACACATATGCGACAATGCATGGTCATGGACCGAGCTGTGTATATTGTATTGTGAGGGTCAACAGAAGAGAGAAGTGAGAACATCGTACGACGTACAATTCCTAACACCGGAAGGCAATGAATAAATAAAAACGGACACCTCTTCTAGGAGATGGGTAAAAAGGAACAGGTCCCCGCCCGTGCGATCTTTGTGCAGGGTTCTTTGTGGGTGTGGTCGGCGACTAGCCGGGGTCGTCCTCACGATGGGGGACTAGCACTAGCCGTCTTTTCCACATGGTCCCTCGGGTCCCTGGCTGCTCCTTATCTCTTCGTATATCCTCTTGCTGATCTCCGCAAAGTCCTGCTCTCTCCCTCGTCTCGCGCCCTGCGCGTCTGCTCCGCCTCCCCGTCGTCTGCAGCTGCGTCGCCTGACTGTCGCCTGGCGAAGTCGCCTTCGAGCTGCAGCATCTCGATGGTGGTGAAGCCGGCGTCGTCGATGGCGCCGCCCGTCTCCGAGGTGACAACGAACTTGTGGTTGGGCGAGAGCAGCACCTCGGCCTCGGTCGCGAAGAAGGAGAGCGCGCAGATGTCCTTGCCCGACGCGAAGAAGGAGAGCGCGCAGACGTCGATCTTGATCACGACGCCGCCCTCGCCGGCGAAGCCGCGCGCCGCCGCGACACTCGTGGTGGTCGAGGTTGGTGAAGGCACCCCACTGGATGGGCCGCCGCTTGAGGTACTGCCGCACGATGTTGGCCTTGTCGCTTTCTGGGAAGCCGCGGTAGCAGGCGCCCTCGTAGTCGGGCAGCGGCGCGAGCGCCTTGAGTGTGTAGTGGACGCACACGCCCCACGTCTTCATCATCTGCGCGCGCCCCGGCCCGGTGCGGTCGCGCAGGGAGCGATTCATCTCGTAGTAGAGGTTGCCCGCCTTGGCCTCGTCGGGCAGCATCAGGTCGTGCGTGTACGCGACGATCGCGAGCAACCCGTCGTCGCTGCCGATGAGCGCGACGTGCCGCCTCCTCGGCGAAGGACAGCTCGGCCGCCTTCATGCGAACGTCGCTCACGATGTGACGGATGTGCGGGCATGCCGCCGTGATTTGTGGGTTGTTGAGCAGCTCGTCAAGGTACGGGCGCGTCGGCAGGATCTCCTCCCACGGCGTTGAGGGCAGGATGCCGAGATGGCGGCAGCCTCGGCGGCGTCGGCGATGAGGCGGCCAGTGGGCGTGGCTGCGGCAGCGGGCGCGGGCGCTGGTGCCGGCGCGGGCGCGGGGGCAGGTGTCGGGGCTGGTTGAGGCTGGGACTACTGGGAGAGGTCTGGCGGATATCCGGGCGGCGGCGGCTGCAGCTGGGTGAGGAGGTCTGGCGGATATCCGGGCGGCGGTGGCTGCAGCTGGGTGAGGTGGTCTGGCGGATATCCGGGCGGCGGCGGCGAAGGCGCGGGGGCAGGTGCCGGGGCTGGCTGAGGCGGCGACTGGAGTGCCGAGAGCTGGAGCACGGCCTGCGTCAGCTTGCCGCTGTCGACGCCGGCCTGGTTGGCCTCGTGCAGCGCCAGCTCGATCGGCGGCGGCCAGCGTCGGCGGCGGCCAGCGCCGCGTCGAGCTTGGCCTCGGACGCGGCCTTGCTGGAGACGGCCGCAGCATCATGCGCGGGCGCTGGTGCGGGCGCGGAGGCAGCGCTCGCCAGCTTATCTTCTGCCATCTTGAGGATGGCAGAAGATAAGCTGGCGTGTCGACGAAGGTGGCCGTGTCGACGAAGGTGCCCGTCTTCGCCGAGGTCTCGAGGAACGGGATGTCGAGGCTCCCGCGCCATGGCCTGCGGCACCTGCCGCAAGTGCGGGCTCTCCTCAACGAGGTCGAGCTTGTTGCCGACCAGCATCCTCTGCACGTTCTCGCGTGCGTACTTGTCGATCTCCGTCAGCCAGCACTTGACGTTGTTGAACGAGTCAAGGTTGGTGATGTCGTACACGACGATGATGCCGTGCGTGCCGCGGTAGTAGGTGCTGCTGATATGGCGGAACCGCTCGACCCCCGCCGTGTCCCACTGCCACAGGATAGAGGTGCGGGCGGGTGAGCAGAGCAGGCACAGGTGTCGCTCGCGTGTTCGGTGCGCTGCGCACAATCTGCAGCTTGATGACTTTGCCGTCCAGCTCGATCGTCCGCATTTTCTGCGCACGTGCACACTGGCGAGTGGGCACGGGCAAGAGCGTGTGGCCCCAGAGTGGGCGATGGCGCACAAAGTCGACACCAATTGTGGATATGTAATCCTCGGTGTACTTGTCATCGGCGAACCGAAGCGCTCCAACAGTTTCGTCTTTCCAACACGGCCGTCGCCGAATATGAAGAAGTAGTCATAATCTGCCTTCATGACGGCGCTTTACAACCCGCGGTGGCGCCGACAACTTTGGCATTCATTATGCATCGATGCTAAACAGCGGCTAACAGCGGTACACGGCAGGCTATCTGGCCAACTCTCAATACTCGTGTACCTGTGAGCTCACGCCCCGATCGGCAAATGCATGCTCACCAGCTCGAGCAGCGCCGCCGAGTCGCGCGCGGCCTCTCCCAGACCCACCTCCTCGCCACCGCGCCCGACGCCGCCGACGAGCGCGTACGGGCGTCCCTCGCCGACGCGCACGCCCTTCTTCACCTTGAGCGATCCGAGCATCCGCAGCCCGCAGCCCGCGCCGTAGACCTGCCTGTCGAGCGCGGTTTCCCAGTCGACGCTCCCAAGCGGCCGCCACGCGCGCAGCGCCGGCGGCGCCGCACCGGAGCCGGCACGGGAGCCGGAGCCGGCACGGGAGCCAGAGCCGGAGCCGGAGCCAGAGGACCAGCCGCCGGAGAGCATGTCGACGAGCGCCTGGCGCACCGCCAGCGCGTCGCCCGTGCTGCACTGCGAGCCGGGCACGTGCAGGTGGATGCCAAGCCGCACCTTGCCGCCGCCGCTGCCGCTGCCGCTGGCGCCACCACCGGCACCGGCACCCTTGGCGGCCGCCGCGACGGGCGTGGGCCGCGCCGCGGTGACGACAACCGGCGCGTCGGCGTCCGTGACGATGTCCTCAAACTCCTGCCTGCCCAGCACCTCGCGCAGGCACGCCGCGAGCTCCAGCTGGGCCGCGCGGCTCAGCAGCTCCTCGCCTTCCCGCACCTCGAGGTCGATGTCGAGGTACAGACGGAACTTCTTCTGGTGCAGCTCGCACACGTACTTGGGCGTCGCGTCGGCCGCGTACACTGCATGGAAGTCGCCGCGCAGCGCGGGTGGAATGTTGACGAAGGCCGCCGCCTCGCCGTTGACGGCCATCAGCAGGTGCGTCTTGGCGCGGGAGTGCGAGTAGTGCACGCACTGGTTGCGGCTCAGCCAGCGCAGCAGCGACTCTCGCGGCTGGCCCACCGTCGCAGCCGCCGCCGCCTGCATCGCCGCCACCGCAGTAGCACCACCCGCCTCACCCGCAGTAGCGGTCACGCCGTGCGGGAGAATGCGTGCTGCGCTGTCGTCGTGCTCCCACTTGGCGCGTATCAGCTGCATCGCCTTCATTGGCACGCCGTGCGCGTTGCGCTCGTGGAAGGCCCTCAGCGCCGCCTCCCCCGGGGGGCACACCACCTCGAGCACCACCACCGCGTAGCCCGCGCGCCTCGCCCTGCGCGAATAGTACGCGTACTGCTCCCGCTTCGCGTTGACGTTGTCGACGATCACGAGAGGCGCAGTGCGGCCCAGCGCGGCGTCGAAGGTTGCGCGGCACGCCGTGTGCGCGTGCTGCAGCAGCGAGGCGTCCCAGGAGCGCGCGTACAGCAGCTTCGCGTCGCCGCCGCACTCCCGGCGCTGCTCGCGCGTCAGGTGGCCGCCGGCGGCGAAGAAGGCGTCGGCGCTGCAGAGAGCCACGCTCTCGTCGTCGTCGGCGTCGTCGTCGGCGTGGTGGCGGAGGTTGAGGTGGGCGTGGCGCCATGCGGCGGCGAGCCGCGTGGCGAGGCTGGACTTGCCGCTGCCGGGCAGGCCGCGCATGATGAAGGCGACACCGCCTTCGCCACCCTCCTCGCCCTCCTCATCCTCCTCGCTCTCCTCGCTCTCCTCATCCTCCTCGCCCTTGCCCTCCTCCTCGCTGCCAGTGCGCTGCTCTTTTGCAGACGAGCCGCCGAGCATCATGACTGCGGACCATGCGTTGGCTTCCGTCAGGCCAACCTCGGCCTCGGTACGCACGAAGTTGCCGCCGGGCAGCAGCCTCTGCAGGTGCATGTCGTCGATGGCAACCCAGCCGCCGGTGCAGCGGTCCGCATTGGCCTCCACCCAGCGGAGAATCTCGCTCGCACGGCTCCTGGCGTCTGCGCCAGTGCTCGCGTACCCGGCCTCGTTCGGGCAGACCGTCTGCGCACTCACGCGCGGCAAGCCATGCGCCTCGAGTGCAGCGTTCACCTTTGCGACGGTGCTCGGCAGGCCCTGCCACGACGACGAGAGCACGAGGGCCGCGCCCGTCTGCTCGACGACGCTGCGCAGCGCCGCCATGCATGGCGCGCTGAAGGGCGATGTGGACGAGAAGGGATGCAGCACGCCATCCACGTCCAAGATGATGACCTTGCGATCGGCAAGCTGGTTGGTCTCCTCGAATGCGAGCAGGCCGTCGCGGCCGATGGGAAGCGTGCCAGTGGAGGCGTCCGTTGGTGCCTCCCCCGCCTCCTGCGCCACCGCTCCGGCAGCATCGCCGAGCGCCTCCAGCGCGCGGCACAGCGGAAGCAGCGCCGGCGTGCTGCCGCTCAGCCCGCGCAGCGCCTCCTCGAGCGTCGCAAACGCGCCCGCGCCGCCACCAGCACCAGAGAGGCCGTCGCCGTCGCCGTCGCCGCACTCGCCAGCAACAAGCGGCGCCAGCTGCAGCAGCCGATCGAGCTGCGCTCCGTCCGTCACCAGCTGCCGCTGCTCGCTCCGCGTGCCGCCACTGCTGCCGCCACCCGCGCCTGCCGCCCTCTTCTTGCCCTTGGTTTTGTCGAGGTCACCCGCATGCGCCACAATCGTGCCTCCCGCGCCGCCACCGCCGTCGGCACCACCACCCGCGTCGACCTTCTTCTTGCCGCGCAGCGGTATCGTCAGCGTCAGCCGGCGCTGGTCGGCGGCGCCCTTGCCCTTCTTCCCCGTGCTCTCGCTCATCACTCCGCAGCTCTCCGCGTACGCGTGCACCAGGTGCCGCTCCCTCGCGTCGAGCTGCTCGGGCTTGAGGCGCAGCTTGGAGCCCGGGTGGGCGTCGTCGACAAAGTCCTCGATCTGCTGACGCAGCTTGGCGGGGAGCGCGCCCAGCCCGCTGTCCGCCGCCTGCAACACGAAGCCCACCGTGCCACGCACCACGACCACCGCGCCACCATCCACTCCAGCAGCAGTTGCGGTGGCGCCATCGGTGGAGTCAGAAGCACAAGCCTTGGCCGCAGCCTTCTCCAGCAGTGCGTTCGAGTAGGCGTGCGGCGTGCCGATGGCGCTCGAGAGGGTCACGTGCGGGTGCGCGTTCTCGCAGAGCGACAGCAGCTCGGCGTGCGGCGGCGCCACGCCCACCACGCGCACCGCGTGGCCCTGCGCGTCGTGCGCCTCGCCGCCCAGGATCAGCTCGACGGTGGTGCCCACCCACGGCCGCAGCGCGCGGGTCGTGCTCGCGTTCGGCTTGTGCGCGAGCGTGAGGTGCGGCTGGGCTGGGATGCTGCCGTGCTTGGGCGGCATCCGCGACGACAGCAGCGCGACGCTGGCGGCATCGAGGAAGACGCCGGCGTACGCGGCCTGCGCGACCTCCGCGGCGAACTGCGGCGGCGGCGGCGGCGGCAGAGGAGCAGCAAGCGACATGCGCGGCTCCTCCTCGTCACCCTCCTCCTCCTCCTCCTCGCCACCCTCCTCGCCACCCTCCTCACCATCATCCTCGCCCTGCTCCTCCTCGTCCTGCGCATCGCCCGCCGGTTCCCGCCACGCGCCGCCCGTCCCCGCCGCGACGGCCGACGCCCACGCCCTCATCAACGCCGGCGACGGCCCGAAGAGGCCGCGCGCGATCGCGATCAGCACGTCGGCATCCGCCGCCGCGTAGCCCACCTGCGCGCCCGAGAGCGGCCAGCTCCGCCAGTCGGAGAACTGCAGCAGCTTCGACTTGTCGAGCTTCGCGCCCAGCACCGCCCAACACGCCGCGTGCAGCGGCGGCAGCTCGAGCTTGGCGGAAGTAGCGTAGATCTGCTGCAGGTCGACGACACTGCGGACGACGAGGCGGCAACGCAGCGCCGCGCTCAGCCTCGCCACGTCCTCGTCGAAGCCGTAGCCGAGCTTGGCCACCGCCTCGCTGCCGAGCAAAGCAAGCAGCGCCGATCGCAGCGTCTCACCCACGCGGCCAACGCTGCCGTCGCCAAGGTGGAGGAGGAAGACGCGTTCCGCCTGCGTCACGCCGCCGACGTCGACGGCGACCGAGGTCGCGCGCGGCACAGCGATCTGCAGCAGCGCCGCGGGGTTGGGCCGCCCGCCGCGCCGCCCGCCGCCCCAGTCGTCAGGGCGCCACTCGACGTCGATGCCGACGGCGGGCGTCGCCGCCTCGACGGCGCCGCGAAGCGTGGCCGCCATGGCCTCCTCGGCGGGCGTGTCGCCCACACGCACGACCCCGATGCGAGACGGGTCGACGGCGAAGGTGGGCGCCGCCGCCACGCCCGCCGCTAGCGCGCCCGTTGCACGCGC